GTTAATCTAAATCTCTAAATTGGAAGTTGCTATGAAAATTACTCTGAGAGTATCTAATTGAAAACATTTTTAATTTCAAGTCTTTAAAAAAAAAAAACAACAAACCACCACAGCTGCAACAAAGTATGGTAATACTAATGAAAGCATATCTGGCACTCGTTCAAATCACTGCCCTCCTCAGTGCTGTGAAAAGAAAAATCGCTCCCCATTGGAAATTCACCATTTTCACACAAGTAAAATTACTCTTCTCTGTAAAAATGGGCTTTCATCATTTGCATTAAAGGTAATTAAATAATGTAATTAAATTGTTGCAGTAACTAGTGTATCTCTGCATGCTACTTGGCTCCAGGAACGCTCATTATGTATTTGCAATCCAGATAGAAAAGAACTTTACTCATAGCAGAATTTTGCAATATCACATCAAGCTAAAATGTTTGTTCAGGTTTTCAAGAAACTTCACAAAATAAGTGGTGGAGATACATGAAAACAAACCAGCAGATGTGATCGTGAGACTTTACGGAATTGCAAGCAAAATTTAATAAAAACTTTAAACAAACAGGTTGCTATCTGTCCCTATGAAGGACATCAATCGAAAACAAACAATAACACAAGAAAGAGAAGACAAAGCAATTTTTAAGTGATCTCTCCTACACAGAAGGATTAGATTTATTCCAGTGAACAAATGACTTTATCGTCTTTTATATACAATGTAAACTTAATAGCAATACAAAATGTTGTTATTGGTTCTTATTTTGCTATTTATAATGACGAAATAGCAATGAAGTTGTATCTGGTACTGCAAGAAAAAGAGGCATTATTTGTAGTAATAACAAATGGAGCCAAACATCACGGAAGTTAATGGAAGCCACCTATTGCTTGAAATGGCAGGCAGATAATTTAGGGTCTAACCTACAAGCGTGGTCCCAAACTATATTAATACCTCCATTTCAGCAGGGCAGGTGGTAGAAAAAAAAAAATGCTGCCATGAAACTACTACTACTGTACCTATGTTCCTAGATGCACAGATTATAAAACAAGAGGTTTTATTCCCATTAAATATATGTCTATAATCCTTTCCAAGCGACAAAAGCAATTTTCTGCACAGTTGGTCCTACCTTGTCTACAGATGCTGGCAGGCAAGCACTGCGCTACCACTGGCTAGTACTCCAGCTCAAACTAACCACTCCTCGACCAGAGTGCCAAGGATTCATTTCATCTCAGGATGGCCTGTTCAGCCTGATTCACCTCAGTTTCCACAGATAACTCAAATACTTTTGTTGTCATTAGGCATTATGCCAACAACTAAAAGGTTTCTGAAAAGCATAATACATGCGAGTCGTTTACAAGCTGAAAAACTTTTACCTGTAGGTGAAATATGGGCAGGAACTAAGAAATTATCCATCTGGAGACTTGTGCTTGATGAACTCCGCAGAGCCACTTCCTCAGTGGAAAGGCACCCATCTCCTTAAAAGTCTCATGGCACCCACAGGAACCACTAGTAATGCTCAGCAGGGAACAAAGACACCGTTTCATCCTACCAACTCATCACCTAGCTGCTTCGAAGGTACTTAGGAAAAAGTATGGTGATCCTAGCAATACTCCTCTTCACTTGGTGGAGATAGGCTTTCAGCAGAGTCATTTCATTATCTATTAAACTAATAGTACCTGAACAGTTTCATGCTGAATTAAACTGGTCCCGACATCTTCAATTCTGAGCAACACAAGGGCAGGAAAGCCACATCTGTATTATCTCCTTTGTGAGCTCAGTCACAGCCCTTAATTAATATTTCTCCATCCTATTGCATCTCAGATTTATCTGCACTTCCCTTTCGCTCCAAGCTAGATGAAGCAAAATACATGTGCAGCCAGAGGACTAGCAGCAATCACCCTGCAACTCCCTGCAGAGGTTCAAAAGCAGCCAAGGGCACTTTTATATGGAAAAACTTATGATCTGCTTAACTAGTGAAATATGCTGTTCCACTATATCCTCCTACAAATAGCTCACCAGGCCGATGTTCTATTCTAGAACAAAAGTGACTTTAACTTTTTACTCCACACTCTGATGATTATTCTGGAATGAAAGGAGTTTTTATTCCAGAGCAGAGTTGCCCATCAGGGAACCATTGCAGCACAGATAACCGCATCAGAATAAGCTATGGCACTGTATGAAAGAAAATTTCCCAGCGCAGAAAGTCTAACATCTCAGAATTGCTGAGACGTTATCTCTGACCTACTTTGCTCAAAGTACCATAGAGATATCTCCACATAGGCATCCAATTATTTCTTGAAATCAACAAGTACTTTTGTGCTACACAGAATTAGTACAAGCTAAAAAAAGAGAGTAGAGGAGGATGATAGGTGGAAAGAAGAGTTCTTTTTGTAGCATTTGCAGTACAGGAATTGATTTCACAAACACGCTCATCCAAGCAATGTAGTTCATTCAGTAGACCGTCAACTCCCATCAAAGAGTCATTCTTAACTTAAAATCAGCATGCCCATAACAGAAACAAATGAACGGAAAAGAGCAGAACAGTTCTTTAGAAACAGTCCAGCTGTCTCATGCATCTGACACTCCCACATACAAATGTTTTCATTGAAGGGGAAAAAAGTGCCAACCCTGAAGCTGAATACCATAGTTAAAAATGGCCATCAAACCCTAACTACGTACCGTGCAAACAGTGTAACTTAAGACACTAAGCGCATTCCCAGAGAAGACCACACCAAAAAAAGACACTTCTGGAGTTCTTACAATATTTTCAAAAGTAATGTTCCTAATAAAGGATTTTACAAGGCAATAAAACACTTTACTAGGTAATTAAATCGTCCTAAGCTGGCTTTTGCTAACTTCACAGTTTATTGCAATGACGGCTGTTCCCAGGGATTAACAAATTCTGGTTGAACATGAGAAAACATTACTATATTTCTTTGCTTTTCTGAAACTTTGTGAAATATTGAAAGAATCTGAGAGACAAATTTAGAACAAACTGATTTAAGGAGAATAAATTAGTAACTATTCCAGTAAATGGTGTGGTATAACATTACAGGAAGGGTCACTTTTACCTTAAGAGCACAGTTAATCTCACTTAAGACAGAAAATCCGCTCTGGTGAAACTTGCAAAAGTTAGCTCAGTTAGTGTAGAAATGAAATTTGCTACCATTTATGGGATGTCTGTTTCTCCGATCTGTGAAAACTAAAACATTGTTCAGCTGACAATACAGAAGGTTTAGTACACAACAGCACCTCTGTACCATAAGATACTATGTTTTAGAACAGTTCTGTACCTTTGATAAGCTATTGAGTGAAAGCAGAACGAGAAAATATCTCTCTTCTCTGATTAAAAAGTAAAGAAAAACCCCTAAAATTATGTGCTATATCAAATTCTTAGGTCAGATTGGAAAGAAATTTATTCTCCTCTTAAAAATTTTCTTCCCAGATCCTGAGAAAAAGACAGTAAAGAGAGAGAAATAATGTTTTTAATATTTATAGAAATACATAATTAAAATAATATAAAAGAGAAAAAAACTCCATCTGAAATCAATTATGGTAGTCTCTCTGCTTGCAGAAGCAAGATAAAAACAGTTGTTATTAATGAAATCTTAACATTTAATCAATGCAATTTCCAGTTTCTAACATAAATTCTGTAGCTGTAACCACACCAAAAAGTTCAACCAACTGCAAACCAGGGTAGAGACTCTGAAACCTCCACTTCTCACGGCTTGATTAGTTAGTCCAGTAAATACCTGCCATCACCTTGTTGAAAGATGTGACCACCAACTGAAAATGAAACGACAGGACAGATGAAAAGTATAGCACATGCAGCATACTTGATAGGGATCTGAACTGAATGATGGATTAAGTTTTTGTTTGTTTGTTTAAGACCAGGATACTGGTTGGATTGGTGGGTTTTTTTCCAGCGGTAGATTCACAAAGGCATCTTCGGTTTTGGGTTTTAGACATTAAACCTTAAGTACTCTGCCATCCAGTAGCATTCCCAACCTGAAAACAGCCAACTATGTTCCCAGTACCAGTAGATTTCAGCTCATGTCCCACATACCCATCAATACTCAGGGAAGGAAGCCTTTTGCTATTATTGAGGATTATGAATCCCTTATGGATCAAATTCAACTTAACGATCTGCAAATAAGAAAAAATTTGAAAATTACTGTTCTCTATAACTCTTGAAGGTGTTAGCAACCTGGAATGAGATCTACAAAAAGACATAACATTGAACAAGTGTTACCCAGGCCTCCCTCTAGGAAACCCTGAGGAAAAGTATGCACCTACCCTCATTAGCATGGGCCACATGAGCACAGAACTAAATAACAACTGGCTTCCTTAGGATTTATTTCCAATTATTAAATTCTTTGAAGTCTAACAATATAGAAATGGTATTATAATTTTTTCCCTATGGCTGTGAAACCTGAAGTGTCTCTGTCACTTCTGGATTCTGTAGTCTTTCATTATATCCTGGTTTCATCTGGGACAGAGTTAGAAAGTATAAACCACATTGTACAAGCTTGAAAAGTTCTTTCAACCTACTCACCTGTTTTAGTGAACCTTGTAGAAATGCAGTATCTTTGCAATTATCATACTCAAACTTAGCTGAATTTAGTTAACAGATTTCGACATTATCATTAACACTGCCAGGGTTAAGCAAAACTATGTACAGAGGAATACATGGAGTGGAATAGCATAAGCTTTACTTCAGTAGGAACCAAGGCTGAAGACACTCAAATATTCTTGGCAGAAGGGACAAGCCAGTCTCCCTCTCCCATAGCATTGAAACAGCAGCTAGTTACCTCGCTCCCTCCTGTTGGGCTAGCGTTGCAAGTTCCGATGTTTTTGTCCCCAAACAAAAGTGAAGGATATAAATCATTTACTAAAAAAAAAAAATACAATCAAAACAACCACCTTTGTTCTCATTTGCATAAATTTAACATGGAAAGGATCACAGGAAGACTTGCAGTAAATACACATGCACTAGATCATATTCATATACCATGATATATGGTGCTGCTGTTGCTGTTCAGATACGATTCAACCAACGGTGCTTGCTCTTATCTGCGTGTTCTTGTGCGACTGTCCACATTGGACTGAACCATTAATGGCTCCTGGCGCTTTTTCTTCTGCTTCTGTTCTAGCAATGCTCGCTGAGGAAAATACAAAGAAAAGCTTCTGTTACTGGACTCCAAACAGTAGCAATCTATGATGAAAAACAATGGATATCTTTACACCTTCTCTAGTTTTCCAGTAGCAGCAGTTGGCGAGTGGGATATTGGGATATCGGGTTATAGGAAATCTTTCCAAAAAAACCCTAACCAACCCACTGCTAAAACACTTTCTGCTGAAAACAGCGAATAATTAAAATAGATCTTTCTGAGCAGTCTACCAGCTGTCAGAGCTTGCTTGGAAATAACCCTTGGGAAAACAACAGTGTGAGAGTACTGGCTGTGAAGCAACAGGAGGGTAAGTAAGGGCATGAGGCAGAGACGCCAATTTAAGTTTTACTAAATTAAATCAGGTAATCTGCAAACTAGAATCCAGTGATAATGCTGGACATGACCCTAATTTAACAACTATACAAGATGAACTTTAATTAAACACTTGAATTTCTCAGCTAGATCTGCTGAAAACCAAAACCTTCAGCACCTGATGGCACCATAGGCACCTCTCTCTTTGAGTCCTCTTCCACAGCCTCAGAGAACTGAACTATTAATTTTACTTATCCATTACCTCACCATTTCCCTGCTCCTGTACAGTGATTTTTTGCTTTTTGAAAGGAGATGCACTAAAACTGAAGAACAAGAATGGAGAGTGGACTCTTCAGCTCCATAAGTTGTGTGTAACACCTCAACATGACTTCAAAACAAGCTGAATCTAGTACAGGATTATAGCATACATACAAATTATTTGAACTTGAACATGAGATGCTGGTAGACATGCAAGCTGATAAAACAATAGGAGAAGAAATGTATAGAAAAATATAAAATTAAAATCACAAGTTTCACTTATAATTTGAAAAGAGGATCACAGAAAAATGAACGGAAAAGTGGAAACCTCAAGCCTCATTAAAATTTGACGGCAAAATTCCCTGAGATTTCATGAGAGAGATTCTAAATTACTTTCTTGTACAAGTTGTGTAGGAATACAGTAGCAAAATAGCCAACATAGCAAATAGTGCCACTAGTTTACAGCCACAAGGGCTAAATCCATGGAATGAAAAGAAAAAGATGTAAAAACTGTGGTAAACCTCTTGTGCTTTCTGGTCCATCAAAGTGGTAAAAAAAAACATTGCAAGGCAGGGTAAAACAAGTCCAAGACAGTGGAAATGAGAATTGTTCAAACTACAGCCATAAGAAAAATTTCAATGGAAGTTAGACTTCTGTGAGCTGCAACCTCCATAGACTTCTCTTTTGCATTCTCTAATCAGAGGATGTAATTTTCTATCAAGTCCCAGATATACGTGTTGGCGATTTCATTTCTTCAAGATCTAGACTTCAGAGAGCAAGAAGGTCCCCCTCCAAAATCTTACCTGTCTGTCAAGCTTCTGCTGACGCAGGCTGCTCCCCTCATCATCCAGAACACTACAAAGACAAAGAGTATGTAATTGGAACAAATTTGTCACTCAAAACAACAACTAACAGCAATCACTGAAGCAAACTCTCGCAGGAGTTATGCAAGTAAAACTCCCACTATGTTCCATGGAAGTTTGCCTGCCCTAACCTGCAAAAGCTGGCTCAAGAGAATTTACATGCAGTCCATGAAAAACTGAAAAACTCTGGTTCACATAAACTTCAATAAAAATATATATTCAGACAGTTCACAAAGAAATGCAAACTCCACAGTCTGCAAATTTTTTTCTTCTCTATTGTCTTCTAATGCAAAAGGTCAACATATACAGCAATGGGTTTGACTGAATATTTGCATATAAAGTATATAAAAGTGAGGCGTGTAAGAGAGCTGCTTAGCAACTCAGCAGTATTAAAATTATCTTAGGAAAATTAACTGCCTAATCTTTTGCACACTGAAACCCAGAGTTTATCCCTGAACGTCTGAAAAGTCACACTTATTGCCATGCACTTCAACTTTTAGAGACTGGCAAGACAAACAGTTTTGCGCACTGCCCTATTTCTTTCTGCTAATCGTTGCTAGTTGAGAGATTAGCTCCTGCACATTCAATCATTTTCATTAATTGGATTTTAAAAACTAGTGGAGAACAAAGGTCTCTATTGTAAGAACATCATGGTTAAACATTGAACATAGATAATTAAATCTTTTAAACTGTAATATATCACTTAGAAGGAAAATAGCGCTATAGAACAAAAAGAATAGCCTCTTACAAGTAGAATTCATTTTCTCTTACAAAACATTTTTATAGAAGATTAGTCTCTTTTATAATCACTCTTAACAATCAAAATGAAAAAAAAAAAAAAAACAAACAACAAAACACCCAGGACAAACAAACCTGGGTTCTGACCTACATACTACCAAATTGTATTGCAATGGAAATGTCATTAAAAACATGACTTCCCATATATTAACACATACTCTTTAGGAGACAGTAACATTATAGCAGAGTTAAATAGGACAGCTAATAAAAGCATGTAGAAAGTCACATTTCTAATGCCAGCCTTATCAAAGACCTGTGATTAGGTGTTACTGTAGCATCAGCCTTTTACAAATTATACTCAGGTTATGAGCATGAAGATAATGAAACTATGCTGTACAAGTACATCAGGTAGGAAATTACAGTCTCTTGCAGAGGTAACGCATTACTCATAGTCTACAAAACAATTACAGAGAAAACCCCTCACACTAATGTTCTACTTTACACCAAGCATTCTTCGTTTGATAAATTACAGAAATAAGTTATAAAAAGAAGACACACATTCCTCCATGGTATACAACACCAGGTTTTTCTCAAGAGTGCTTCACTACAACTGCAATACATATTAGCTGTACTGCTAGAAAGTAAAACTACCTAAATGGATCTTTGGCCAAACAATTGAGTAAGAGATGCCTAAGTGTAAAGTTTCAGGTTTAATGGCCTGAACAAATCTTCCTCATTTAAGACAATACTCGAAAAAAGCCAAAACCATGTAACAATGCTATTACAGACCATAAGAAGTGTAGAGGCAGCAATGCATATACAGCTGTAATACCCAGAGAGGTCAAGAACCAATATTGCTCCACTCCACGAATCATTTGCAGAGCTAAGGAGAAAACTCTCATCTCTTCTCTCATCTTCTGCTTTATAAATCAGACTATGCTGACTCCCTCAGATATGTTAAATGAGCTATTTATACTCTTCTCAGACATTCCCATAAACCACCAGTTCACTAATTATCTTTATGTGAATATAATGGTTTTTGGTATTATGCTGGATTGGCTATAATTCTAAATTCTGTATCACAGACAAGGTGTCTAAGCGCTCCGGATAGCTCTAGCTTCCTCTGCTTTCCCATCACATCGTATCCTCACGTAACAAGGGAGCAGGGAAATGCCATCAGTTGGGGTTCTAAACCTTACCTCTGACTCTCTGGGAAGCCACAACAAGCTAAATTCAGGTTCAGGTAAACAAGCACAGCTCCCTTGGATCTCTTTGGTAGGTCTGATGCATAAACTCCTTTCAAAAACTATGGATGCTGTAAGCTAGAACACCTCTCCATACTGCCCTTCCACTGCAAGATATTGTTCTTAAAGCCTCTGAATATACACAATCAAAGCTGACACCAAGAGCAGCACACCTTGAAAACCAGCTGACAAGCTGGTTCCAGGTCCTTCATTCTTGCACTTCATAATTTATAAAGTTCTGGGTAGTTTTCCACAATCCTTTTGTAAATATGCATTAACTACAAGCCTTTTATTATTTAAACTATAACATTCAACCACTAAAATCAAACTCCAGCTTTCTTCACTGATACCGAGGTTCAGTAGAAGACAGTTATTTCAACAATTCTGTCCCCCTCCAGATTAGTGGACTTGTCTGCCACCAGATAGCCACACCACTCTTCTGAATCCTTCACAGTGTAAAAAAGGCCTCATTACCACCAACTCTGTCTATTTTAACAGTTACTCAATGCCAGTATCACTGAAAAGATGCAGTTCTGTCCTTCATCTTGATGTCTAAATAATGCTTATGCAAGTCCAAATAAAAAGAAGATCCAATTTAGCCTTTATATTCTTCTGCAATAATAGCAGAGCATTCCAGTTGGAGACTGTGTACTTCGTTAATATTTTCTACAGAGCTAGTGGACCTTGGAGTTGCTGATTAGCAGCCAATATTTCACATCGCCTGATTTTCAATGGAAGAACTCTCCTGAGACTGGGTGATTCCCAAGATTTGCCATTCAGGGACATCAGGGGTTTAATAAATAAATATGTACATACATACATACGTAATTAAAATAAAATAAACTCTATTTCTGTAGCAATTCTATCAGGCCCTCACCCTTTCTGCCTTGAAAATCACCTGCAGTGGACTCTGAGATGCAAATGTGTAACCACCACGGACCTTTTTTCTCACACTCCAGTGAAGCCTTGCAGAAACATTTAGCAGATGATCCTGCCACAGCATCTGGCAGTCCATGCAGTCTGACATACGCCCCAAGGTCCAAGAACTGAAACCCTGAGAACCTACCCTTTTCTTTCTTTGGAACACACAAAAGTCTAGGAACAGAAGCACAGCCTTTGCCCTTCCTGGTCTTTAAAAAGAACAGAAATCAATTAATTGCTCTTTCCTCTGGAAGAGTTGTGCACGTGGTGAGGACCCAGTCTATCCTGCCCAGTTTCAGAAGTGGCCATGGTTCTGTTCCACAGTGGTCGAAATAACTGGGGTTGGTCAGATACTAAAGGCCCAGTACAGTGGAAAAACTGGCTGTAACATGGCAGGACCACTACAGGAAACAATCTCATAGAGAGTGAGGGCTGCTAGAACAATTTGCCTACATGTTTGATGTGATGCTAGAAAATCCCAGCAGCAGCATGAAACTGTCAGTCTTAATAGAGAAGTATAACTTTATAATTCATGAAAATTGAATTATCGAAAAGAATGCATACATATTAGCAATCTGCTGAGCATGCTGAAGCATCCTGAAGACCC